AGGTTTAAGCTTCAGTCCTTTGTTCAGTTCTGAGTGTTCAATTGGAAGAACCTAGTCAACTAGCCTTTCCATGTCCTAGGTCAGCTGCTGGCTCTGGCCACTCCAGCCTGATTGGATTTCGAAACAGACCGCAGGTTTCACAATTGTGATTGAGATTTGGGAAACATTGAAAGCCTGCGCTTACGAAGAATTGGATTCGACCCACGCCGATTTTGATTTCCACTTACGCAGACAGAGATCGGTGTGGTTCCAGTGCTCAACCACGCCGAAAACAATTGACGAAGGGGGGGGTGCGCCGATTTTCAACTTTTGCAAAAGCTGAAGAATCGGTGTGGGGTACCCTTCGCTAATCAAAGTCGGTGTGGGTCGACAGGTAAACCACGCCGATTTTTGTCTGCGTAAGTGGTAATCAAAATCGGTGTGAGTCGAATCGCAATCTGCGTAGAAGATCGGTGTGGGTCGAGAGGTAACCCGCGCCGATTTTTCTGCCCCACGCTGATTTTTCTGACCCGCGCCGATTTTGGCTTAGTTCGCGTTGGGCCCAGCAGTCTAAGCATGGAGTGGTCTTTGCTTCGTGCAAGTGTGGCAGCAGCACAAGCAGTGGGGTTTCCTGTATGCAGTATGCACGTTTACTTTTGCTGTATTTTTGTTATGATTTTTACTGTAGTTAAAAACTTGGGTGCCCACACGCGCCGTCAAAGGTGAAGAAGACCAGTTCAACAGCTTCAACGATTGCTGATGAACCAGTTGAGGACACGCCACCAGCATCTTCAATGGCATCTACTCCCAGCCCAGATGCACCAAAGGACAAATCTTTGGGTCATGAAATTCGTTGGAAGTTTGTTTCTTGTATTTGTTTAATCCACCTTTTGTTTGTGTCAATGGTTTCTACTTATAGACTTTTATATCCCCCCAATCATCCCAAACATCCCACCATTCACCCAGGTGAGGGACATGAAAGCGAAGGGCCACACCATTAATGAAGCCCATGCCATGTGGATGGAATCAAATGAGCGGGCTTCCTTGCTAGCTAGCGAGAAAGGAGTTCAAGTGTGAACCTTCTATGAAACAATGGAAGGTGTATAATACCGTGTGTTTAGAAATGCTGGACCTGATCGTGGGGAACCACAACTTTGTGGCGATCGGGAGCAAACAAAGGTGAGTCGCAGATAATGTTTGTTTGTCAGTGCACTCTTTCAACCGTTTTTGCTTGCAACCCAACAAGTGTGGCACATGCCAGGAGAACTTCGAAGAACTGAGTGTGCTACGTCTACGTGTGGTTGGAACTACCAACCAGTCTCAGCGCCGTTTTGGACACCAAATGTGGACGCTTTAAAGAAAAAACAGTACTCCCTGAGTGGAATCAGGTTTGAGAGTAAAACATATCTACATATACAAACACAGCAGCATAGTTCACAGCACGGTGGCCCGAGCAATGCTCAGGATGCAAGCACTTGCTCCAAGGAAAGGAAAAATATCAGTGTATTGCAGCATTGCGTGTTTGCTTTCATGTGGCTTAGGAAACTTCAAAAGAAATGCGTTAACGTTTTGGTGTCTTAGAGTATTCCTTCGAGGTATCCCCACCAACCAGAGTATACACACAGGCCCTCTGGCTCAGCCCTTTTCCCAACAGCGACCGTACAGCATTGAATCCTATTGCTGATTTTCTCAGGGACTCTACTCTGGGCTGGTTTGATACACTCAACTTATCTCAGAGACTACTCTGGGCTGGTTTGATACACACTTAACTTATCTCAGAGTCTTTACTCTGGACTGGTTTTGAGTCACTGAGTCATAGAATATGGTAGCTGAGCTTCTGAATCATTGACAGCTGATCATTCTAAATTAACAGCTAGTTACCACGAAATTGACTTTGTGGTAGAGGTGAATGTCGATGTGACATTGGGATTGGCTTGTGAGCGGATGTGGTTTGGAGGGGCGGAATTGCGAAACTGCTTGGCAGAGCTGCGTGATGTGTGCGCTCCGACGGGGGTTCCCGCTTGACTTTTGGTGGAAGTCTCGTACGAAACGCTCGTTTTGCAGACTTTGACGTGTGAGTTTTTGAGGAAGTCTCGTACGAAACGCTCGTTATGGAGACTTGACGTGTGAGTTTTTGAGGAGGTCTCGTACGAAACGCTCGTTTTGGAGACTTGACGTGTTACTTTTGGAGGGGGTCTCGTACGAAACGCTTGTTTTGGAGACTTGACGCATGACTTGTGGAGGAAGTCTCGTACGAAACGCTCGTCTTCCAGACTCGAAGCGCGACTTTTGGAGGAAGTCTCGTACGAAACGCTCGTTTTGGAGACTGTACGCATGACTTTTGAGAATGTCTCGTACGAAACGCTCGTCTCGCAGACTCGAAGCGTGGGCTTGGTGGGAAGGGTGTTTGCGTGGCGCCGTGCCACTGGAGAGTGCGAAACATGCTGGTGTAAACGCGGCGTGTCGCTGGTGAGCGGGATGATTGGGGGTATCATGTGATATGTTTGCTTCTAGTGTGTGGACAGACCGTGTGGCGAAACTATGTTCGTGCTGTCGCAGTGCCATTGGGATTTGCGTGGCCTTGGTGGGAAGTGTGTTTGCGCGGCGCCGTGCCACTGGGAAGCGCGAAACACGCTGGCGTAAACGCGGCGCGTCGCAGGTGAGCGGGATGATTGGTGGTATCGTGTGATATGTTTGCTTCTAGTGTATGGGCAGGCCGTGTGGTGAAATTACGTTCGTGATGTCGCAGTGCCATTGGGATTTGCACGGCCTTGGTGGGAAGTGCGTTTGCGTGGCGGCGTGCCACTGGGGAGCGCGAAACACGCTGGTGTAAACGCGGCGTGTCGCTGGTGAGCGGGATGATTGGCGGTATCATGTGATATGATTGCGTCTAGTATGTGGACAGACCGTGTGGCCAAATTACGTTCGTGATGTCACAGTGCCATTGGGATTTGCGCGGCCTTGGTGGGAAGTGCGTTTGCGTGGCGCCGTGCCACTGGGGAGCGCGAAACATGCTGGTGTAAACGCGGCGTCGCTGGTGAGCAGGATGATTGGCGCTATCAAGAATGTCCCAAAAGAGTGTCCTGCAAGAGCTTCCTACAAGAGTGACCCACAAGACTGTCCTACAAGAGTGTCTCACAAGAGTGTCCCACAAGAGTGTCCCGCAAGAGTGTCCCACAAGAGTGCCCTACAAGAGTGCCCCACAAGAGTGTCCCACGAGAGTGTCCTACAAGGGTGTCCTACAAAAGTGCCCTACAAGAGTGTCCCACAAGAGTGTCCTATAAGAGTGCCCCACAAGAGTGTCCCACAAGAGTTTCCTACAAGAGTGTCCCGCAAGAGTGCCCTACAAGAGTATCCTACAAGAGTGTCCCGCAAGAGTCTCCCACAGGAGTTTCCTACAAGAGTGTCCCGCAAGAGTGTCCCACAAGAGTGTCCCACAAGAGTGTCCTACAAGAGTGCCCCACAAGGGTTCCCTACAAGAGTGCCCCACAAGAGTGCCCTACAAGAGTGTCCCACAAGAGTCTCCCACAAGAGTGTTGTCCCGCAAGAGTGTCCCACAAGAGTGTCCTACAAGAGTGTCCCGCAAGAGTGTCCCACAAGAGTTTCCTACAAGAGTGTCCCACAAGAGTGTCCCACAAGAAACAAGAGTGTCCGACAAGAGTGTCCACAAGAGTTTCCTACAAGAGTGTCCCACAAGAGTGTCCCACAAGAGTTTCCTACAAGAGTGTCCCACAAGAGTTTCCTACAAGAGTGACCCACAAGAGTGTCCCGCAAGAGTGTCCCACAAGAGTCCTACAAGAGTGTCCCACAAGAGTGTCCGACAAGAGTGTCCCACAAGAGTGCCCGACAAGAGTGTCCTACAAGAGTGATCCACAAGAGTGTCCCGCAAGAGTGTCCCACAAGAGTGCCCTACAAGAGTGTCCTACAAGAGTGTCCCGCAAGAGTGTCCCGCAAGAGTGTCCCACAAGAGTGTCCCACAAGAGTGTCCTACAAGAGTCTCCCACAAGAGTGTTGTCCCACAAGAGTGCCCTACAAGAGTGTCCCACAAGAGTGTCCCACAAGAGTGTCCCACAAGAGTGTCCTATAAGAGTGTCCTACAAGAGTGTCCCACAAGAGTGCCCCATAAAAGTGTCCTACAAGAGTGTCCCACAAGAGTGTCCCACAGGAGTTTCCTACAAGAGTGTCCCACAAGAGTGTCCTACAAGAGTGTCCCACAAGAGTGCCCTACAAGAGTGTCCCACAAGAGTGCCCTACAAGAGTGTCCCACGAGAGTGCCCTACAAGAGTGTCCCACAAGAGTGTCATTTGGACATATGTAGCTTGTCGAACGTGTTTGCATTCGGGTTCGTGGGCTCCATCTTGTGTTTTTCAGCGCCATTCCGATTGCGCAGCATGAACCCATACTTTCCACATGAAAGTTGCTGAATCGGTAACCCCCCCGTTAGAATTGGCTAAACATTAAACGTCCCCCCTCTTAGGACGGGGTGATGTCCGCCCATACCACTTGGACGCCCCTGGAACCCAAACGACTCACACAGTCTGCCAGTGCGTTGACCACCGGCAGCCAAGGGGCTGCCCGGCCTGGTGCCACATGCAGTTCGGACTCCCTGTCCGTGAAGAACCGCCCAAGTCCTGCTATGTAGTTCGCGCAGTAACCGGCATAGCGCAGACTGGAATCATCCCGGGTTGTTGCAGGATCTGTTGGTCAATATCGCCCCCAAGCGCTGGGCCAAGCACAAGCTCCACAGAATGGAAGGCGGCTTTCAGGTCAATGAAAAACAGCGCAGATGGCACCCCTGTTTTTTTCTCGCCGCAGAAAGGTGTGTATACAAGCTGCCAAAACTGCATCGTTGATGGGCGAAGCCTCCAAGCTGCCCCGGAGGGCGTTGGATGGTGGCGCATTCCATCACTTGATTGCGGAACCAGGCATGCACTCGTCGAACGAGAACACCCAGATGCCTCTATACTGCGCAGGCCATGCCGGCACTGGAACCTTCGGCAGCATGCACAAGGTCCTGGAGATTAATTGCTCACGAAGATGCTCCTGTTGAATTGCCGGCCGGGGTCTCTCCCTTTCTGGGGCTCGCGGAAGATGCCTTTGGAAGGTTGATCGCATCCTTCCCACTCCGTCTTGAGAGTTTCGAAGAAAGCCACACTATCTCTCCTCTGCAGTGACGAAGCCTCATTGCGCGCTGCCCGAAAAGCCAGGAAGAGTTGGACCCTCCTCTCGAAGGGCTCCCCTCGAAGCAATGAAGCACACACGAAGACCATGATGACGCTGGGCACCCTGTAGTCGGAGAAGATGCCCTCGGAACTTGGCCTTCTCTTGGATGGCCCAGTGGTGTCATCACCGTAATATGGTTTCCGATGAAATGGCCTCCGCTCAGGAACCACTCGACGGACTCCAGCTTCAAACCTTCGGGCAACTTCTTGGGCGCGCTGGTGCGCATCCAAATTCCAACCAATCGGTGTCATAGTCTCGACCGCTCATTGCGTTTGCCAGGCTTCTTCTTGGGAACCGAACAGTTGCAAGCCGGGGTTGAACACACGATGCAATACCTCACTGCCCTCAATGACACACCGAAACTGCAAGCAGGCAGCATTGTGATGCAAATGTCCATGAGCTTGTAGACCAAACTCCGTCCATGACCGAACTTGTTGGAAATGCCAATCGGCCAATCGGTCGGAAATATTGCGATGTAGTCGAGACGGCTCACCTGCCCCCTCGGGTGGGTCCATGTATGGCCTGGGCCCCAGTGGCAGTCTTCGAAGGTCGCAGGCAACCACATGTTCCAATCGAGAATGAATAGTCTCATGAAAACATGCTCCACTCGGCGTCTCTTCTTCACCGTTACTCATTTGTCCAACTCGCGCGTTGGCATCAGCCAACAAGATCATGGCCTTCTGTTGGGGATATAGGCAGGCACCAACCTTCGCATAGAGCTCCAGAAGTCAGCCATTTCTTCCATTGCGGTGCGTGAGTGTTGACCAGGAGTATGCCAAGTGTAATGAGCAGCTTGGGAGATCCTTCACTGACTCCCTGGCACCACCGCCTGAGGAAAGCTTGAGGGAACGCCAGTGCAAAGCTAAAAGAGCTCCTGCATGGGCTGCCAGTGCCAGTACTCCGCATGTGCAAATTTCAGCTGTCGCAACCGTGTCTCCTGCAGAGCTACTATCGAGATGCCCTTCGCATGGCATTGATCGAGAAAGCTCATGGTGGCCATATAGGATGAAACAAACTTCTCCTTCAACGACATCACAGTTGTGAATGAGTTCATCGCCGCATGCTGAGCTAGTGTGTCAGCCGCTTCGTTGCCTGGATCACCTTGGTGTCCACCCATGTACATGATGAGGCTCTACATCAAGTTGGTGGCCATTTTGCAACATCTGATGCAGCGCTCTAGAGAATCGGTTGTCCCGTGCCACCTGATAGTAAAGCTCCCAGCTGCCGTCGCGTCAAAGTGGTAGTCTCTCCCTGGTGCGAAGGACATCGTGCGACCATTTGTCGCCATAGTGTGGGCGATGACCTCTGCCTGGAAAGCCCCGTGGAAAAGCTCTACCCTGCGCTGCAGCGTAGACCCAGATCGCAACCCCCGCCCCGGTCCCTCCTTCAATCGCCGAGCCGTCCAGGTACATGTGGATCTCCTGCAGGCATTCCCATTTCCATCTGGGTAATTGCAGCCAAGGTAGTGAGCAGGCCTTCCATCGCAGTTCACAGGGATAAGCAGTCATAGCCACATGACTGTTGAACCAATTCATTGCATGGATGGCCCTTGTGCAATCCAAGACATGCCCTTCGCGGTGTCCCCCTTGTAGTGAGCACTCATCTCCACAAAGCGGCCGGTAGGTAGTACCAATCAATGCAGTCAGCCAAGCTAATGGGACCCGATGTGGCTCATCTTCCTCCACGACCGGTAGATCTGTCTCCCTTTTAGGCTCATCACCCAAATCGCTCTGCGTGCCCTCCATAGATGTCTGCACCGGGTCACCATCCGCCTTGAGGATATTTGAGGATGTGTTTCAGGAAAGTGTCACACAAATGCAACCAAAAAACCGTTGTTCTTCTAAAATCATAGGTCCTTCTTTGCACAGGACAGGATTTCCAGGCGGGGGCAACCTGGAAAACATAACAGCTTCCATACTATGCCATGGCCGTTGCAGTAAAGAGAGTTCGTCTTCATCAAGATCATCTCCTTCACCCCCGTCAAGCTCTTCAACACATTGCTCTTGTTCTCGCGCATCCACCCACACTTGTAGAAGGCTGGCGCGTGCCAGCAACCTCTCGTGAGGGTCCTGCTGCGCCCACGGAGCATGCCCCAATTCAACCAGACATCGAGCCGTCCCAAAAACACATCACTGTAGCAAATCCTCACCCTCAACTAAAAAATACAGAGATTCTGCACTGCAAAAGGTTTTATATAACCGTTCAAGCAAGCACTCCCAGGCTGTCATCCCTCATTTGTTCAGTGCCCCCTTGCCATTCCGCTGCATTCCAAGACCCTGCAACATCTGCACTCCTTCCCGCCCAGATTCGTTGGCAGCGAGTCGAGTCGTTGTTTTCCGAGATCAAAGAACAGCAAAGAGACTTTCCCTTCAACTGGCTGAATGCTTTCCCTTCAGTCGTTGTTTTCAGGCCAGCAGCCAGGAAAAATTCTTTGTTCTCAAGACTTCTCGCTCACACTGAAAGCGGCCGACTGACGTTTTGGTGCCATGCTGAAGTCTGTGCTTCGCAGCCTTTTTGGCCATCTTAGTTCCCATAGGTGAACTAGCCAAAGAACTTGCCGAGGAACACCGTGCCCTCATTCGAGATGGTGTAGCCATGCTCCTTGTGCCCTTCGTCACTCGGATCACCTAAGGCTCCAGCTTCATCTCGGGGGGGGCAACGCGCCCACTTTCACCGAAGGCTTCATGGGCTTGTTCTCCACCTCGAAGTTCTGCCTGTCTTGACCCTTAGGGCCAGCTTCAAAGCCCTTGTTCTTTCTCGGCGCCAGTAGCTGGCCGTCTGCTTTTGCCATCCCTTTGGCCAGATCCTTCTGGCGTTCATGGGATTCCCAAAGGTAGCTGTGGAAGGCGTCTGAATTCCATCTTCCATAGCGTTTCACCACATCCAAGTCCTTGGTCGTCTGGTACATGGCTGTGGCACCCCCAATGCGAAGGCTGTGAGATCCATACCTGGTCGTGGACTGCCCATCCGCCACCGCCACCACCTAAATCAAGTTCTATTTGTCCCCTCTGCGCAAGGGCTTGCCATCCTCGAGCCTGAACAAGGGCTGGTTTTCTTCAGCTCCTGCAAAACGTTCCGGTTTCATGCTCTGGTACTCCGCCAAGGCGCCAACCACACATAGTTCATCCCCACTTCGGAACTGATTGCGGACAGTGCCTTGATTGTATTGGTCTGTCTTCGAGCCCTTCAAGTAGATCACCACCTCCTCTGCGACGTGGAAGTTGGTCACCTGCTTGTTGTCACGCCTTGCTTCGACATCACTGCCTTTTAGGGTTCTTGTATTGCCCCAGGATCGCCCGATCGTCACCAAGAACTCCGAGGCCCGCAAGAGGAAGAAGAACCCCACCATGATAGCTGCCCAGATGATAACCTGGTCACACCTGCTCAAGCTGTCACTGGTGTTCAAGTGGCGTTTGATCCACGAAAGCATTCCCGGTAGTACAGGGTATTTTCGTCTCGTCTCAGGTTATGGAGGACTCCACGATGAACTCCTTGTCATAGGCATAGAGCTGCTCGCACATCCTGCAGGTCAGCCTGCAGAAATAATTGCCCTCTTCCTCACTGGCTGTGGGGTTGGGGCCTCCCTCTGGCGAAGTGAAGCTGCGCGTCCCACCATTGAGGATGTTGAAGTCACAGTAGCTGGTACAAGGTGTTCCAAATTCCCAGATATTTGCCGTGCTTGGGCCCGGCATCTCCATCGTGGCCTGCAGGTAGTGGTTGGCGATGGACTCATTCTTCAGGTCAAAGTGGTCTCGCCTGTCCTTCTTTTGAAGTGGGTTGCCGAACAGTTCAACGGGCTCATTCGCTCCAAGTCCAGCCTCTTCCATCGCCTTTGTCCATGTACCGGAACCAGCAAAGACCTCCTGCACCCGAATCCCGTAGGCAAACGATGGCCTGTGCTTCAGTGGGGCATGTGCTCCCATAAGGATCAACTCCTGCGTGTCAATGGGATGTTCATTGAAACTCCACGGCACTTGTGGTGCAGCCTTGCCCTGCTTTGGGTTGTGGTCCAGGCAACGTGGGCATTTAGGTCGTTTGCCTGGGACAAGGGGAGCCGCTGTGTCCTCATTCGCCAAGAACTCCCTCCATCCTTCACAAGGCCATTCACGATCGACTTGACCACTCAATGTGAGCTCTGCGGCCAGCTTGACGGGCTCCTCCTTGTCGTTCGGGACAAGCAGCCTGATGTGACCTCCGTGTGTCAAGAACGGAATGATCTGGTTCTCGCTTCCTGGGCTGCTCCCCACGAGATGGTCAACCTGGAAGTGGCCTCGGCAATTCAACCTCCAACATTGCAGTGTGACCTCCCGCAGTTCATCCAGCACAAACGCTTGAAACGGCCTATAGTCTTTGTCGTGATGAGCTCGAAGGCAATCATGTGCGTAACCTCGAACTTCTTCGCGTGCTCCAATCCACGGGGCAGGATCTCCTAGCTCTGCAATTGCATTTGCTGCTTCATCCCACAGCTCCGCCCGAAACAATTGTGCCTTCTGCTTCACCTCATCAATTGTTGGCCGGCGCTCTGGGTCCCAGTCTCCTTCCCACAGTAGAACTCCAGCTGCAGGATGAAGCACCAGGCATTGCCGCTCTTCTTCTTCTCCAGGCTGTAGTCCAAGCGCGCTTGCCAGTTCGTTTGGGACCGGCAGCTTGTCCTTGTAGTCCAAGTAGCGCCAACACACTCTGCGGTCACCGCACTGGAACTCAAACTTGCCTTCACCATACCCCTTCTCTTTGCACCAAACTGGTGCGCTGATCCATGCCTGCCTCTCATCGTCGGCCCAACCCACGGATCTCTCCTCGTTCAAGACCTTCTCAGCTTCTTGAGCAAGTTCAGGACATCCCTTCTCTGTGGCCTCCAAGAGCACCTCGTCGATCGTCATCTCCTGCTTTTCAATCATCGAGTTCAGCATGCGTCCTCTCACGTGTGACTGAAGGTAGCTGGATCGGTTTGCGAGCTTGGTGAAGGCGCCTCCTTTTTCAAGTTCTTCAAGGGCCTTCAGGCGACGCTGCGCCTCAGGATGCTCCACTCGTCGCTCCCAGATGGTATGTGGCTCACGACCTGGTTCAAGCATAGGGTCTCTGAGCCAGTCGGTGTGTGGACCCCTGGTGAGCTCCCGTAGTTCATCTTCCAGTTGGGTATATTGGACACCTTCATACTCTTCAGGTGGGAGGCATCCTTGCTTCTGTCCACTGCCGTCCTTCACCTTCTCGTCGCGCTCCGCCTTGGCTTGGGCGCGAAGTTGAGCAATGCGTCCATCGACCTGTCCAGGTTGGATCAGTGGGCCACTCTTCAAACCACCTCGTCTGATGAGCTGTGCAAGGACAGTCCAACGCAGCCCCTTCGTGGTGGTGCTGGGTTGGTGTGCATGGTTGTTCCTTTCCACGGCTGCAGCCCATATGCGTTGCCCCATCCCAGCAGATCGGCTTGCCCTCCTTGGTGCGTGGCCCATGCTTAACTGATTCCGCAGCCTCACGAGGTCGAAGTCGCTTCCCGGCAGGATAGGCCTTCTTGTCGTCTTTCTCCTTCTCCTTTTTCTTCTTGTCTCTTTCACCTGCACGTTCTCGTCCACGTCCAACTCGATCATCATCTCCTCCAGGTTCGTCACCTTGTGGTTCGCTGTCTACCCCGGATGCACCTCCTCCTACTTTGGGCGCTTGCCTCTTGTGGTGTAGCTGGCCATAGATGATCCCCTTGAGTGCCCGTGCTTGTCGTGGTACACATTAAACTTGTTGATAATAGCCTTCAGGATGTGCCAGGTCAAACGTCCGTGGAAAGTGAAAGCCACTGTCGGCCGCAAGCGGGACGAACTTCAGGTCCTCCTTCCTCGGGTTGTCGGTGTTGAGAATCCTGCAAAGTTGCCTCCGACTCTCACGAAGCTCCTCCGTCCACGCTGCTTTGAGCTCTTCCCAAAGGCTCAGGCCAAACATCTGAGTCTTGCTCGTGCGCCTTCTCAATCTGGTCCAACGCCTTGAGCCGCTCCTTCTTGTGCTCCAAGCCCAAGACTGATCCAAGCATCCTGATCTCGTTCTTCGCCTGCTTGAGCCAAGTCGCGAAGTGCGTCGGGTACCTGGGCTTGGGCTCGATCTTGTCGTCCTTTGGGGCCTCATACTGATCGAAGTCCTTTGGTTTTGCTGTTACTGCATGCGCCACACTGAGCTGCCAAGGTGCCAATGTCGTGTGGTCCTTTCCACCGTGCTGCATGGCTGCGAGGCCATACGCGATCCCATTTGTCACAAGGCAAGGCCACTCGATTTGTTGCAGCTTAGCTTTCGCACGCGAGCATGCCCTCTTCAAAGCATCGAAGAGCTCTTTGCCCGTGACATCCGGGCATACCTCCACCGTGAGGGTATTGCACCCTCGAGCCAAATAGACGTCCAGGCTCTCCTCAGCGCCAATGGAGCTCCGAGTACCTGGGCTACCTCGCTTGTCACCTTCTGTGGCTTTACGAAGGCCCTCAAGTGCGTGCACCACCCTGGCTCCCATCTGCGCCTCATCGTCATCTCCACCGGCTCCTGCTCGAGTTGAGGCCTCATCAATTCTGTTCCCCAGACCGAAGAGCTGGCCCACCACGCCGTCGTTGGAAATGAGGGGGTTGAGCTTGCTGGTTGCTTCTGCTGGGCGGATAAGGCTTCCATCATCACGAGGGCCTTCATAGCACGAAGGGAACAGCCTTTCGTGGGCTGCTTGTCCTTTCTTCTCAACTGGCTTGGAACGTTCAGGATCTGCGTCACGCTTGAGGTGCTCGTCCTTCTCATCTTTGTGATCTTTGTTGGTCACCTTCTTCAGAATCCTGATGGCCACTTCGACCGACTCGTTCTGCTTCCCACAATTTCTTCGGATGTGCGTCCTCAGGAGGTTGCGAAGTGTCTGAACGTCCACCTCAAAGATCATCTGGACCGTATCGATCGCCTCTTGGTGAGTCTGCCCTGGGCACGTTGCCGTCATATAGGCCTCGATGACCCCGTCGCCAGTCACCTCCTCGTTCTCAACCTCCACGGGAACATCAGGCTCTTCCTCCTGTCTGGTTTCATCTTCCTCTCTCATGGCTCTGGCTAAGCTGTGGCTTCGGCTGCGCGATCTCCTTCTAGGCGTCTCGGGCTTAGGCAGTGGTTCTCCCTCTTTGCGACCACGGACCTGATGATCCATACCAAGCTCCGCCTCTGCAGGCCAAGAAGGCCAGATCTCACCTTTGACTTAGCCTGCACTATGTTTGCGCACCATGCTGGAGAGGTTCTTCTTGATGTCCACAAGCTGAGCACCGCTTAGGCGACGTCCTGAAACCAAAGTTCTTCCTTCCCAAGACTGTAGACGCTGCGCCAAGAGCTCCGGGACGATGTAGCCCTTGACATCAAGGCCAATGCCTGCAGCATCCTGTGGCACTTCCTTGACCAACAGCTGGGCTTTAGCTGGTTCGAGCTCTTGCAAGTTTCTGATGTCCACCATGTCCTCCAAGTACTTTGGGTCGACGATGATCGTGTTGTCCAAGAACGTGACGTAGATCTCGAGCTTCTCATCACCACGAACTCCTCCAGGTGTGTAGCCAGCTAACTCCCCAAGGCAAAGAATCCACTCGTGGTTCCCGTCCTCATAAGTCAAGCGAACCTTCAGCCACACCGGCCTCCCCATCACGTCTTCCTGTTCCAGAGCTCCTCTCGGTGGAGAGGGGACCATCACCTTCCCCAAATCAACAGAATTGGATCTAATGGGCGCCATCCCGCTCTCTCTCTCTCTTGACCTGCGTGTGCGTCTCGTCAATGGCTCCTCCTGTTGCACTTGTAGAAGGTGCGTCCAAAGCTGGGCTTCTACTGCGGCTTGAGGTTCTCCTGGTGAATTCTCCTGGTGAATCTGCGACGGAATCCCTGCAGCATGCCATTGGGATGAGGGCTATCTTTGCGTGTGCTCGCACCCCCTTGTTCACATAGGTGGTCATAGCATAGAGGCACTCCATGGTCCATGCTTGGCCCCCTTAGAAGCTCTGTGGCAGGTCAGGTCTCTTCAAAGCTGCACTCTGATAGACCTGCCGATGATGCGCACAAAGGGGGATCCGCACCAGTTGACCAGGCCCAGGTGGCCTGACGTCCGAGACCTCAATGTCCCCGTCGAGAAGTGTCGTCTCCTCTTGAGTTGCCATGTCGTTGCATCCGTCTGGTGCCAGTGGCCTCATCTCTCCATCAACCATGAGACCAACGCGCACCCCTTGGCACGCTGCCTCATCCCCCTCAGCTTCTGACTCTGAGTCTGGATCAAGGAAGCGCTCGTGTCCATCTTCATCCCGGATGACGCGGTTGGTCTTCTTATTGCAGCAAATGCGGCAACAGCACCGAAGCAGCCTCACCAGAAAACCCAGTCCACGCCAAACACCACGACCAAGTAGACCAATGAGCCATCGTGGTGAACCGTGAGCATAACGATGGAGGCCCAGCAATGCTTCATGATCAACCCCCGCGAACTCCTGGATATGCATGGAGTGCTCTGCTTTGCACTCTAGCTGTCGGCGCAAGTGGATCTCCCCCACCTCCTCCAGCTCCCGGCAAAATTGCCTCGAAGTGCAACCAGACACTCCATTGAACTTCACCCTCAAGCCATCGCTATCGATCCGCTTGAGCATGCTCTCCTCTTGCAGCAACCGGGCTACATGACCTCCACGTCGGATGACCACGTCGTTGAGCCTTCGTCTGCTGCCGCGGCCTTTGAGACGCTGTTGTAGTGCGAGAACAAAGCATTCCAACTCATGACCATGCATAACACACGCAAACCGAAGACCCTTTTCGAGCGGTTCAAAGAGCTCACGCATGGTAGCGGAGCTGTGAGGGACACTCCTAAGGTTTGTCCTGAGCTCCAGAGCTCTACCGGGGACCGGACCCAAATCCCCACTCCGCGCCCCCGTTCCTCGCTTTTGCCGTGCCACCATAAACTAGTGTTGCATTTGCTCGCATTCAGTGCTTGAGATTACGTGGTCACGGAGTGAGTTGAACACCTTGGACTACCCCTTTGCCTACATCCAGTTGAAGAAGGAGGTTTCTGAAATCCAGGAGGTGGAACCACACCCTTTTGCCCAAGGCTGTCCCGGAGGAAGAGAAAGGTGAGTTTGGGAGCTTTTGCATCCAGGCTGGAATGGACGGGTCTGGACCTACAGGTTTTGAAGATTTGACACAAGCCTTGATTGCAACAGCCCAAGCAGCAACTCAAGCAATTCAGACAGCTACGTCTACAGGGTCTGGAACAGGAGCTTCAACTGGGGAACCCAGTGGCCTTTTGAAGAAGGATTTAGCCCGCTTGATTCCAAGACCTGGCATTTTCCAACCCACTGACAGGGAACAGGAGATCCTTCAGTGGAGGGATTGGTTTTGGAGCATGAAACAGTATTTGGTGGTGGTGGACAGTGCCTACCAGGACGAACTGGAGAAGATTGAGGAGAAGAGTGGAGAGGAGATCGAATGGTCATTCCTCACGGAGAAGGAGCAGGAGAGAGCACGCTTCCTGTATAGCTTGCTTGGGAGCTTGATCCATGGAAGACTGGTCGGACTGATCAAGAACGTGTCCCATTACAATGGATTTGAAGCGTTGAGACAGTTGATACTCAACTGCCAACCCCAAGCTCGAAATCGAACAATGAATTTGCTGCAAGGCATTATGGCCTATCCGAGCTTCAACATGAAGCTATCCATTCTGCCTCAACTGTTGAAGTTGGAAGAGCACTTCACTCAGTATGAGCGGTTGGGAGGAAAACTACCACCAGATATGAGAGCTGCAGTTCTTCTGAAGGCTATCTCTGGCCCCCTCAAGGTGCACCTCAACATGACTCTTAATGAGGGCAGTTCCTATGGCAAGATAAGAGAAGCAGTGTTGGCCTATGACACAGCGAACACGAAGTGGAATGAGTCTGCCGCACTGAGTTTTTCAAGTACGAGCCCAATGCAGTCCAATTTGAACGACACCAACGGACCTGCCCCCATGGAGGTGGATCGGTTCAAGGGAAAAGATAAAGGAAAAGGGAAGACCAAAGATGTGAAGGGCGCCAAGGGCAAGGGCAAAGAGGAGAAGGGCAAGTCCAAGGGAAAAGGGGGAAAGGCCGTTTTTGGGCCTAAAAGTGAAGGAAAAGGAAAAGGTGGGAAAGAGAAAGGAAAGGGCAAAGGTTCAGGACAAACCTGCTGGACATGTGGACGTCCAGGACACTTGGCCAAGGACTGTTGGAGAGTCAGGCAAGTGGAGGCTCCAGCATCAAATGCCCCTTCGAGCCCACCTACAGTATCACCGAGCACTACGACGTCGATCCAGCCAGGAAGCGAGACCACGCTCAAGGCGGTGAGGCGAGTTTCACAACCTCTGATCTTCGATTTGAGGAGCTATGAGGAGAGCAGAGGGTCAATTCGAATGCGAATGCTGCGAGAGGTTGAGAAGCCAAGGAAGAGAGCAGTAGTTGAGTTCTACAACATCGCAACGGACGATGAGGAGGACTATGAAGGTGCTTTGAAGGTGAATGCCATCTATGAGGTACCACCTGAGGAGGAGTACCAGGTGGATGATGACCCAACCGGCGGTGGTGATGGAATGATGGCCACAATCATCATCGACTCAGGAGCAGATGCTTCAATCTTCCCAGGCCACATGTTGAAGCAAGGCCGGAAAGCTCGTGGCATGTCGCCATATCTCCAGGATGCTCAAGGAAGGGCAATCAGAACCTATGGGCACAGAGACATCGACATTGAGCTGAAGGCGGAAGATGACAGGCTGGTGGTATTGAAGGAAAGGGTGACATTCAGTGATGTGGTGTCTCAGCCTATCCTTTCCTTTGGCCATCTTCTTCGTTCAGGATGGTCAATCAGTGGAGAAGAGAGGTGCTTGGTCAACGGAGAGGTGAAGGTGCCTATTGACCTGCAGAACCAGAGCCTGGTCGTACAAGGACAAAGCAGGAATGTGGCCCTAGCAAGCTTCGTGAGAGCTTTGGAGGTCACTTTGGGAGAGGGCCTGAAGAAGATCGAGATGGAGCAGTTGGGATGGAAACGCCATGGGGAGAGATGGATTGGCGTGCATCGAGGACAGCGCTTCCAGAATCCTCAGTTCATCCCTGATATGAAGCATCAAGGAGAAGGGATGAGTCGATCGACAGTGGTCAAGAAAGGTGACCAATGGCAGTTGGTGGAGATGAGTGAGCCGGTAGATGGGCTAGAGGACCAAGAAGAAGAGATTGAGGAGTTGAGAGGTGAATACATGGCAAAAATCATCACCTTTGTGGCACACTCCACGACGTCCCAATCACCAGAAGATCTTGGCTTTGAGGTCGAAGGGTTCGACTATGAGGCTTCGAAGAGAAGAAGAGAGGCAGAAGATGAATATGCCATTCCAGTGGCTGACGATGAAGGTGAGGTTGAAGCATTTGAGGGCAGAGAGATTGAAGGGCCTGGAGGTCCAGGAGGAGCTGACCTGGGTGAGATTTGAAGTGGGAGTTGCCATCCCAGACCGCATCCAAGTCAATGGGGTGGAACTTTCCTTGGAGAGTCCTTTGCGCACACTTCGAGCTGCGTGTGCCATCTACCAAGTGGGACAGTCAGGCAGCAAGCGCAAATGTTTTGGCCGTTTGGTTGAGCATCAGGCCAAACTGGAACTCCTGCAGGCTCGAGATCTTGCTCGACATGCCCAAGCACTACAGGGTAGAGAGCCGAGAGAACAGGCGTTTGCGAAGGAGCCAAGTGAGGAGGAGAAGAGGAAGCACGAGCTCACCCATGTCCCGTACGCCCCTTGGTGTTCAGCCTGCATTAAGCATCGAGGACGGCCGGATCCCACAGGCGCACTGGGAAATCTCGTGAGTCAGGACCAGTGGTGTCATTCGACTTTTCCTACACGAATGCGCGGGGAATTGGGCCGCTTGGAGCGCAGGAGGAGAGTGACCAAGCTCAGATGGGCGTGCCGGATGAAGGAGGAGCACTTTGGCTGATTGCTGTATGCTCAGAAACAGGCTATTTGATGGGTTTGCCACTTCGCTCAAAGAACCAGACAAGTCTTATCTCCCACGAGCTGCTCGCCTTCACCCAACTTCTTGGCCATGAAAAGGTGACGTATTATGCAGACAATGAACCAGCCACTCGACAGGTGCTAAAGCTGCTGGTGCAAGCAAGGACAGCAATTGGCTTGGAAACCCATATGAGGACCACTAAACTGTACGACTCGGCAGGCAATTCCCTTGCAGAAAATGCCATTCAGAGGATCAGAGGAGTTGCAGCAAGTCTCATGGAGGAGGTCGCAACACAGACAGGCTTGCGCTTCAATGCACAACATCCTCTGTGGAGCTGGTGCTGTCGACATAGTGCTTGGGTGCTCAACAGGTTCCAAGCCACACAAGGAACTACCAGCTATGAGCTTGTATATGGAAGGCCCTATGATGGTAAGGTTTGCCGGTATGGGGAGGTGGTCCATGCCTATGTCAAGCCGAAGCAGGGCTACAAAGCGGATCCTAAATGGAAGATTGGAATATGCCTTGGGAAAAGTGAGACCCAGGATTGCTGGATTATTGGAGATGGCAGTCGAGTCTTCTTGAGTCGATCAATCCGCAGGGTGGAGCAATCTTGGCAATCCTTTCTCAGCTGCTTCAAAGCATTCAGTGCCTACAGCTGGGAATACCAGACCAACTTCGGGGGAAGAATCGTGCCTTCGAAGAGGTTGACAGCGGTGGTGGAAGGACCAGCCGCGTCGCTCCCAGTTGAGGACCTGGAGAAGTTGGCGGAGGAAGACAAGGAGGCATATGAGGTAATCACGTTTGCCAGATCCTATGCGGGGAAGATTGATCAACGAAAGGAGGATGAAGAGGAGGCTGAGAAGGAGAAGACCATCGAGGAAGAAGAAAAGAGGATTCGTGAGGATAAGAAGGTGAGTTTCAGAGAGGAAGACGCTGGGTTGCTGGAGGTGATTCCCATCGCTGAGGGCCAGCCACTCATTGATGAAGAGAACAACCAAGCAGGACCTTCAAGTGGACGGGCACCGTCAAGTCCAAGAACCACGGCACGGAAGCAGGTATCTATGGAGGAAAGCTCAGAACAGGATTCAAAGAAGCTGAAGCCTACGATGGAGAAACCAGTCCATGGCTTAGAAATGGTGAGCCCTGATCCAAAGAGGGCTAAACCTGATGATGTGCCACATGTGGAGAGGAGAGTTGCGGCTACCCAAGTTGGAGGTGACGTGTTCTACCACAACGACAGCATTTGGGATGAGGATCTCATCAGCTGGAATGTGGAACCAGAAGAAGAAGAGGTGCTGCCAGGAGGAGAGGTGCCAAAAGAGTTGTGGTCAGCGGCTCCTCTTGATCGAGTACCACCTGACCCTCCGAAATGGGTAGATGATTTAGCAGACAAGGTTGAGGAGGAGAGGCTGCAGCGAATGGGAGTACTTCGGGCTATGAAGGGACCTTTGATGGGTCACAAAACTCTGACGACCAGGTTTGTGCATGATTGGCGAGCAAAGCCCAGGCCTGAGGATGGAAAGAAGCAGTGGCTCAGGAGGTCAAGAATGGTTGCCCGGGAGTATGCCTTGGAGAGGAATGATGAAGTTCATTCACCAGCAACAGGTGGACAGACCTTACGGTTGCTCCCACTCATTTACCTCATGAAAAAGAAGGAGGAGGAAGTTGGTGGCGAGAAGTATTGGCTGGGAAGCTTGGATGTGAAGGACGCCTTCCTACAAGTCGATCAAGCGGCGCCTACACAGCTCAGGACTCCCAATGGACACTTTGAGGTGCTAAAGAACCTGCCTGGACAACGCATTGGAGCAAAGGCTTGGTATGAGTGCATCACATCGTGGTTGGGAGAGAGAGGATTCGAGTTCGCAGAGGAGAACCCCTGTTTGGGCAGGCACGGCAATGACATGATGCTTCTAATCCATGTGGATGACGTCATGTTTGTGGGAAAGGAGTCATATGTGAGTCAAGTTTTCCTGCCTGAAATACAAGCTCGATTTGAGATCTCACAGCAACACATTGAGAAAGAGAATGACCAGATCCAGTTCCTCAGGAGAACGTATGAGCTAGTCAATGAGGAAGAGAACCCCACCTTGCGAGTCTATCCAGGCAAGTATGCAGAGGAGATGGTTGAAAAGTATGAGGCTGTGATGGGGAGAGTGAAAACTCAACAGCTTCCATGTGGACAGGAGATGCTGGAACCAGATGGAACGTCACCATTGGGGGTTGAACTGGCAGGTTTATATCGCTCATTGGTTGGATGTGGCATCTACCTAAGCCAGGAGAGGATGGACATCAGCTTTGCGGTGAAAGAGCTGGCATCAAGCATGGCATGCCCTACGACAGGAAGTCTCAAGAAGCTGGCAAAGATGATCGGCTACCTGAAGTCCACAATGGGCCAATATGGAGTCCTTGAACTGGAAGAAGCAGGCCATGGATTGGTTACACGATGTGATACCTCAAGGTGGCTGCTGGAGACTTTCTCGGACAGTGATTGGTCAGGATCGAAGGGTCACCGCAGGTCTACAAGTGCGGCTATCCACATGATGAATGGCACAGTGGTGTTTTCGAGCTCCAGAGGACAGAAATCTGTCAGTCTGAGTTCGGCTGAGGCAGAGCTCAATGCAACTGGTTGGAGCCGCAGCTGATGGCATCTACCTCAAGAGGTGTTTAGAGTTCTTGGTGGGAGAGAGCGTGACTCACCATTGCCTGGTTGACAACTCTGCAGCCCTACACCTATGTCATCGAAAAGGACCTGGACGCCTACGACACATAGCAGGCAAGTTGTTGTGGGTGCAGGATTTGGTGGCGCAGGAGGAGCTCCGGGTGAAGTCGGTTGGCACAGTGCACAACGTGTCTGACCTAGGGACAAAACCCTTGAGCAAAGCACGGATCCAGTTGATCCTTTACTGGTGCAAGATCAATAACAAGGAACACCAGAGGCTAGGAGTGGATGAGCATCAACGAGTAGCGGATGGGCTGATCAACAAAGGGAAGATCAATAGGTTGGCCAAGCTGCTCAACAGAATCTTGCTTTTGGAGGGTCTTGAGCAAGTGGCCGGGAACGTCATGGACGAAAGCACCACCTGTCTAGCAGTTGAGGAGAGATCAACGAGCTCTATGGCACGATGGGTGATTGGCATCTTGATCCTGATGGTCATCTTCCTAGCTGGAGTGGTCTATTTGCTCTGGAAGAGCTTGAGAGAAGTGAAGGAGGACTTGCACGAGTTAAGGCAAGACTGCAAAACAGATGGAATGATGATTAGCGCCATCGACTATGAGGTGAAGGAGTCAGAAAGAAAGCAAGAAGGTGTGAAGGAAGCAGTGCAGACGTTGGCCGAGTACATCCAAAAAGTGCACAGAGGACTTATCAAGATCGATGGATTCGTGGATGACACGGAGATGAAGGAAGAGGATTGGCAGCATTGGGACTACTTGCAGAAGTCCAACAGGAATGCAAATCTGCAGAAGTTGAAAGCCCAAGCAAAGGAGCTGCTGATACGGAGATGCAATGAAGAGTATGAAGATGAATCCATTGATTTGACAGCGGTATTTCCAGACAATGTCCCAGGAGAAGAGTCACCAGATGGTGAGACAGCCCTGGTACAGTTGGACTCTGGACAACTTGTGCACATCGCTGCCGAGTACCTAGAGATGAGAGAGCCAGAAAGTGACCCTGAGGATGAGACAGTCAGGGATGCGAGAAGGGCAGAAAAGAAGAGAAAGCATGATGAAGAGATCGAGCGAATCAAGCGCTTGAAGATGGAAGATCTTGGTGACCTTGACCTACCAGAAGGCCGATCTGGCCTACGGGCAAAGGAGCACATGAATCAGCTCCATGACCACTGGGTGGTGGCTGATCGAGCTGGAGATGCAGCCGGTAGAGTCCTGGTGTATAGAAAGATGGAGGTACACCAGAAATTTCTGGACAGTGCCGCTTTGAAGTTTTAGGTCAAGGAGCTAAAGGACTCCGAGACCTAAGGAGGAGTGCGAGAACAAAGCATTCCAACTCATGACCATGCGTAACACATGCAAACCGAAGACCCTTTTCGAGCGGTTCAAAGAGCTCACGCATGTAGGTATCTGGTCTCAGTTAGCCATCCAGTCTTCGGACCATGCCATTCAATGTCCACCATCGGGGGCCTGGCACTTGGCAAGTGAGCGTCCAGTCCATCTCGTCGACGGCAACAAAGAAGTCCACATAGTGCTTGAAGTCCTCGTCCCACTGCACGGAAAGGTCCTGTCAGCGTGTGGAGGCTATAGGTCAAGATTCCCAGAACACCTGTGCTGAAGCTCACCATGATGACCCATGCTGTCCATGGCCACCACGTTCCAAAGGCCTGCACACCAATGCCATCAACAAAGTAGCCAGCCCACCCTCCTTCAGCTCGAAGTCGCCCAGGATGGTCCGGCGTGCCAAACCATGCGGCCTCATCCTCAGGGGAGTAGGACTGTCTCCATAAGCCCCGGATCTGGCCTTCGATCCACCAAAAGCTTCCATTAAGGGGGCGTAGCATTGCCAGGGTCTGGGATCTCCTCTGCCCTCATGGTCTCCGTGAGGTTGTCCTCGGGCGGCCGGGTCTGCAGCAGCTCGAACTCCCATGGCCATCCCACGACCGCGGAGAACAAGTAGAGGGTGCGTGGGCACCGCATCCCCTGTGCCATCTGCCACTGGGAGTGGCAGAAAGCCTGCTCCGAGCCTAAACTTCAGGGCGAAAGGTCCTTAGAACCTTACATCTTCCTAAAGCTCAGATTCCCACCCTTCAACTGGCAGCCGGAGCCCATTCACGAAACATTGATGAGTTCCCCCCTTACATCCACTTGCGATGGATACACACTACATGCAGCAATGCAAGCTTGGGGGAATGAGCGCACATCGGCAATCAAGCAATTTCAAGACAAATCTCGAAATCTGACCCCAGAACGTGGTGCAAATCTTAAAGAAACACTTGAAAATTTAAAATATTTGTCTGGCGTTCTGGGGTCAGATTTGCAGAGCGGCCCAAGTCAAAAATTTGCAGACAAAATTAATCCTTGAAAGCTTCTATAAAGCTGAGAATCTTTGTCTTGGTCTGATGTGGGCCCTGGAGCTTTCACTGGCGCCGGAGGCGGGTTGATGCCATGTCTATTCCCACTCTAATTTGGAGGTGGCTATGGAGGAGTCGGTTGAAGCGGCATCTTCTTCGGCAAAACCCAAGTCTGCTTAACAGTGGGCCTTGGCTGGATGACCTTTGTCTTCAGCGCAGGCGGTTGCGTCGGCAGAGCTCTTTAGGAAACGGCGGCGTGACCACCGCACATATGACGCTTGCGCCAATCTCTACCGATCAACTATACAAGGCACATCAGACCCAATTGCGAACTTCACGCGCGATCAGGCCTTCATTGGACTACAAAGTTACCGCTCCGGCCATCGCAAGGCTCCTGAATCAAATTGTTCCATGGTCCATCAACAAGGAAACTGACAACAGACAATGGAGGCACATGTGCATCTAGTCTCTTTGAGTTATACGTACACTCACAGCCCAATGCACAACAACCAGTCCTTTGCAACGGATCGCGGCCAGAAAGAAAAGTTCAGTAACCCTAGATTGACTGATAACAAATTATGATTTTCATTGATTACTGCATCATACCGCATGTCACTTCTCCAGTTCACACCAACCCTAAAGTGTGGCTCTTGTTAAAACTCTTGTGCCAATGTTCTGTGAAACTGTGAAGCGGTTATGATGCAACATGTCCCTCCTCTAGATACTGTAGTTTATCACACAAATTGTGAAGAGCCTCTTATTAAACAGACTCTGCACCAATGTTGGGCGCATAAGACTAAACTGCAAAAATGGCAGCAGCGCGCTTGCAAACACAACACCAAATGCTCGTGAATTTGCACACACATGCAAACATTCCCTGTTTAAATGTAACGGGGTCAGAGCCCCATGTTATGCAAACGGGGCCGAAGCCCCCTGTTTTCATGTCTATAATAAATTTACAAACGGAAACATTATTACCGTGTGTGTGGGACATGTTTCTTTCTGAAACAGACACATCAGCGCAAAGACTTAGAGCCAACAACATGTTCACACCAAGACTAACCAACACTTTAAAACTGTTCATTCCTTTGAATGGAAGGGAAACTCCAACATGGCCACACCAAACCTCTCCGTTTGCAAGGACAGCCCAAGGATGTTAACATGCAAAGCACAAAGGCACTTCTCAGCGAGAAAGAAAGGCGAGGGGCGTTTCTTGGTGAGAAAGAAAGCCCAGTGCGTTTATTAAACACCCAGATGCCAAATTGGTACCTCCAGGCAGCACTTGGTGCTCCCCAAGGGGTCGGATGCACGCCCTGGCGTCCGTGGGTCGCCGCCGCTCTGCCGGTGTGATTTGCGCGGCAGGCGCGCCTGGTATCCAACCAACCAACCGCCAACCACCAGCCACCAACCACCAACCACCACCAATTGTCCGCTCCTGTGTCTCGTGGTGAAGTTGTTAACATGTGGAGTTGTCCGGTCCTATAATCTTCAAAGCTCATCAAGTTGAAAACAACCAGCAGAAAAGTATCGTAAACGAGCAATTAAACTGCCATGTCCTTTTTTCTGGCGATTTGTGGCCTGAGCAAGATCTGGTGACCCTGTCCGTTGCCAAGGTGCGCGGCTTGCATCGAGGTTGTCAGCATGGGCTTCCGGGAGCTTGCAGCCAAAGGACAGACAGAGTTGTATTTCGCAACGCGATGGACGCTGGAGCCGATCCTGATGACGGGGACAGGTACTCAGCACACATGGCATGACGATTCCAACCTCTTTGTGCCCGAACTCACTGATTCCACTGCTGCGTTACGACGCTTTCGCAGCACGACAGAGCCCACCGGGACTGCGGAATACAACTGCATGGAGTCCTCAACACAGGGGTTGTTGCTCCAGCCATTTGCCTCCAGTGAAGATTCAGGTTTTGAGGCACAGCTTCTGGATGGCAACGAGGTGGGAACCAATTCAACACAGTAACGTTGCGAACATGTATGGCAGTGAAATAAGCAGACAAACCGAACAAAAATGGTTGATGCTTGCCAACAGTGAACTCACGTTTCCCTTTCTATGCTGATGCGTCAGCGATGCTGGGGTGGAGGTGTTGCGGACGGGCGCAGTATTTGGCGCCAATAGACACTCTATAGGTAGTTGTTCAGGCCAGGTGCCTGATCGGAGGCACTCGCATCCGTGTCTGGCTTCAAGCCGCTGGTCTATGCGGCGTACGCGCTATGTTCACGCCTCTCTCGGGATCTTCGGGGCCCATGTCAAGTGCGCAGGTTCGCAGAAACTGCTTGGTGAGGCGTCGTGCGCATTCTTGGGCTTGATGGTCGCTCTTCGGCTAGGGGGCCCTCGTGCTGTGGTGGCCCAAAGTCGAATTGCTGACAGGCACAGGAGACTGGTGCAGGTTCCTGAGATGCAGGGCGCAGGTCAACTTTAAGGCTTGTGCCGGCTAATTGGGAGAAATCATCTGAGGCCACAGCCTCGCACCTCAATGTTGGTGTCGCCATATGGGCTTTGTATGATGGTTGGCGGTCTTGTGCCGTGTATGCACGACTGATATGGAGTCTGATCAACACCTGTCATACGCAAACGAAGAGGGCTATGCCACGAC